AATACAGTGTTACCATTGGGTAGTTTCCATCTTACTATTTTATTTAAGTTCATACTGATTATATTAATTCTTTTCAGAGAGGACCTTCACCTTACCCAATGTCTATGGCCTACAAGTAAGCTGTACATACCTTCAAAATTGCCTTCCAGTCTCTTATCAAATTTCAGTCTGGATTTTTCATTTCATTATTTTACTTGAAAAAAATAAAACATTTCCACTTTGGATTATTATTTTAAAAAAAATTCATATAGGAAATTATAAAAATAAAAATAGGTGGTATTTCCAAGAAGGATATAAAGGGCTTACAGTGTTTTGATTTCCGTAACCATTTTTTCATATTATTTTTAAAAAAATTCATATAGGAAATTATAAAAATAAAAATAATTAATATGTTATTTTTAAAAGGTGGTATTTCCAAGAAGGATATAAAGGGCTTACAGTGTTTTGATTTCCGTAACCATTTTTTCACTTTAAGGATAAGGATGGGCTCTGGGCCAAGATACAGACATTTACTATAGGAGTTGGTAGATTTTTCATGCAAAATATAAAAAAATTCATATAGGAAATTATAAAAATAAAAATAATTAATATGTTATTTTTAAAAGGTGGTATTTCCAAGAAGGATATAAAGGGCTTACAGTGTTTTGATTTCCGTAACCATTTTTTCACTTTAAGGATAAGGATGGGCTCTGGGCCAAGATACAGACATTTACTATAGGAGTTGGTAGATTTTTCATGCAAAATAGAAATTTTCATCTTAACATAAAAATTATAGTTGTGGCAAGTAGTCTTTTGCAATGTGTCTTAAAATGGATATTGACACCAAAAGGGGAAAAACTTAAATCTGATTTTAATGGATAGGAAAATTCTTATGAATTAAATTATGATTCCTAACTCAATTGTGTGTGAACTGAATTAAATTCAGTGGTTAGGTTCAATTCTGACCTTATGGGGAAATTTGATTTGGTTTTTGTCCATTTCATTTGAGATGTGAGTCATAGAATTAAGCTCATTAAACAAGCAAGGTAAAACTGTAAAAATTTTCTCCATGTTTTGAGGTGTGGTAATTTGATGAATATTCTTATTCATAACATATGTCTTGCTCCTCAGTAATTCTTCTGAAACCCAACAGTATTTTGTTGGACATTTTCTAATATGGTAATGATTCATGTTCCAGAAAATTCCTTAGAAAAAGGTTACTTCATCACAGTTTTTAGGCAGTCATTATTAACTAGTGATTCTCAGTGGTTTGCCAGAAAGCTATGCTTTTAAAAGAAGAAATCAATGAGTCATTGCTTAGCTTTTTCTGTGACTATGTTGGGTACCTAGTAACTTTAGAATATTCTTCCCCACTCTAACTCCAACCTAATTATTTTTACTATGTTCTATGGTATAGAAATTTGAAGGGATCTTTAACTCCACAAGAATGCTCTCTCTTGTGTGGATAGTGGGCATCACAAAGCAAACTGAAAGTGGGGCAGGAACAGACCCATCCTGTCTTGCAGTCTGGAGATTGGCTGAACATGGAATACCTCTCTTAAGCCTATGCTCAGCTGTCACTGAACACAGTTATTGCTCCCCTGGTCCACCTTTTGCTGTGTCCTCACCCCCACTGTGTCTACTGCTACTCTTTCCCCCCTACCACAGCTGTGAGAGGACTCATTAGCTGTGCATCACCAGCCTCTACTATGTGTGCCAAATTGGCCATTCTGTGTCTCAGCCTGTGCCCAGTAGATAGTCTGGGAATATACATACATAGTCTTTTTGGCTTTTAATGTAAGATATGCTCTGTCTTCATCAAGATGCCTACAGTGGACAATTTTCCAAATATCAGCAAGTGGTTCACATCCTGGACAAATCAGGAATGTGAAATTTCCATTCGAAGGGTTGTCAGGAAATTGTTCTTGTGCTAAAATGGACCCATGGCTGCTTCCTAGAAAATTCAGGTGGGCCATTCAGAGTGGCAGTTCATAACTTTACTTTGCAGCCATGGACGTTTAAATCCTTGGTTTCATTGGGGGTTTTTGTTTGATTTTCTTTAATATGTTATTTTTAATAATGAACTGGCATTGGAAAATATTCTGGTAGTCTAGTAGAATCCTGTCTCAGTACAGTGATTATAAGCATACATTCCCTGCTGTGTTGATTGGAAACAGAAGCAGGTATTTCCTATATCTTAGTGGCATATGGTACTAAGATTGTATCATAATATCTTATAAGAGCCAAGAAACTTCTCTGCTTAAAAATGTGTGTTTATAAACAATAGACTTACAATGAATATTCCCATCTGTTAGGTGAACGTAATTTGTGTAGGAATTCCAGTAATAGGAGGAGGACTTTGCAACTCTTTGTAGGCTTTTTTCCCTGGTGAGACATTAGGTTAAAGAGATGGTAGAAAACAGCATATGCCTAATATTCAATTTTGTATCTGTTTCTCTCTGTTGTCTGAAAAGAGTGCTGTTTTTTCACTTTAGAACATAGGATTATTATAGAATTTCATAAGAATTGAAGATTATTTAGGATACTTAAAAAAGGAAAAATTGAAAATTATGTAAGTATGGTTATGTTGCATTTTAAAAATTGTCTTTGTAGCTTTGCAAATCTGTATTTCAATGACTGATAGTGTTTTTTTGTAAAATTTTGTTGATTTTGTTGTAATATCACAACTCTTTATTATAATCACGGTATACAGTAATAAAAGCTGCTCACCTTTCCATTCCTGATTTGTAATTTCAGTAAGTGACATTGACTCTTTGTGTTCAGTTTGATATTATTCTGATTGTCTACATTAATTAATTTTGAGATGAACTGTTCCTCAGAATAAAAAATTGTAAGATTAAAAACTCATATTTTTCTTATCATAAAAGACTTTATAAATCCTGCCTAAGATCTCAATGCAGGTTATCAGAGGGAAAACATACTTTGATTAATATTTGTTTAACATTGGATTGCCTGAATTGTCCAATCCAAATTTTTATTCCCTTAAAAATCATTCCTGTCAGTTTCTTTTTCAGGATGACTAATTGGATATACTTGAATAAAAAGATGAACAATTAGTTGAATATAAATAATTTAAGGTATGCTTGGGAACTGTGCAAATAAAGCATGCCATACGCTTTGTCTTTTACCTGATTTTAAAATGAGCTTTCATTGATTATAATTTGTAAAAGGACATATTTTTTAATTTGTAGACATTAATTAACTGCATATCATTTTTGTATGAGATGGAGTTTTCTGTTTTTCAGAAAATAAACTATGTGAGCAGATTTGAGCTCTCTTTTGTTTCTCATAATAGACACATCACCATATGTGAAAAGTGTCCAAGACTTAAGTCTTACTGGGTTTTTTTGCATTCAAAGATACGCTATTTTTTTCATTTCCAATGCTCCTTCAGTTTGTATTTTTTTCATTTTCGTCATATTGAGGATAGAATTGAGTTCCTTCAGCATGAACTCTCTACCACTGAGCTGCATCCTCAGCTTATACTTTTTTATTATAAAATATTGGTATGATTGATGTACATATTTAATGTACACAACTTGATGAATTGGGAGATAAGTATACAGCCATGAAACTATCATCACAGTTCACAGTAGAGAGCCTCTTTGTTGCCTCCAAATATTTCTTCCTGTTCTCTTTATTCATTACTATTTTTTATGCGATAAGAACTTGTAACGAGATCTATCCTAAATTTTAAAATATAAAATTCTGTATTGTTTTCTGTTCATTTTTTACAATTTTTATTTTTTATCAGTATGTGTCTGCAGGACATAATGTGCACATTCCTTCTGGGGAGTTGATACATGTACATAATACTTCTTAATTCTTTTTTCATCCCTTACTTATTCCTTCTATCTCTTAGTCCCCTTCCTGTCTGCAATTATCCTTTCCTATTATCTTTTATTTTGCTCTGTATTTATATTTTGGGTTTCTCATATAAGAGAAACCATGCAATATTTGAGCTCATGTGTTGATTTATTTCACTCAGTGTTATGGTAGCAAGGTGCATCTGTTTTCCTACAAGTGATTCAAGATTATTCTTTATGGCAATGTAGTATTCCACTATGTATAAATAACAGTTTCTTATCCTTCTTGTTTATTGATTTTGTTTTTTTTTCCCCCAGTACTGGGAATTGAACTCAGGACCTTAACACTTTCCAGGAAGGTACAAGGCTGCTGAGCTAAATCCCTGACGCCTGTTTATGGATTTTAAAACATTCTAAGTTAGAGCAAACCTAAGCAAACCTTTTATAGAAACCGTATCTTTTAATTATGTCTTTCCTATGAAAATGTACTAAAAATTTCAGAAAGCAATGCATTTTGAAGATGATTACTTATATCTACAGGAATGGAAACTACATATGAAATGGCTTTTCTGTCCTCTTAAAAAATTAAGTCCATGTCAGGCCACATATGGAGAAGAAAAGAAAGTATGTAAGTTACTTAGGGAGTAGTCCACCCCAAAATGGACAAAGAAGTGACTCCTGGAATGGCTGTATCTCATCCCAAAGGTTATATTTGAACTTTGACATAGAATAATAGAACACGCTGTGTTAGGGTTATTACCAGATCCAGAAATCATTTCTGGAAATTCTGAGGCTCTTCAGGGAGTTAAAAGAAGTAATTTTTTATTGTGAGGTGTAGTTAAATGCAGTATCTTTATTTATATTTTACTTGCATTCAGTGTATGGTAAGTAATACCTAACTTGCACATGACACTGTGCTAGGCTCCATCCAGGATTGAATGGCATATGAAATAGACATGAGTCCATCTTCATGTGCTACTCATATCCTAATTAGATAGCTATTGATGAAATAATCTCAGAAATAAATAATTGGCATTGCGTTGGACAGAGAAGAATTGTGTGGTTCGAAGATTACATAAATAATGTGTGTTGAGCACCTATTATATGAGGTGTGCATACCATTCCAAATGTGACCATTAACACTTCTTTTTTGGTATTTTGACCATTAACTTCTTCTTTTTTGGTATTTGGCAGGTATATTATTTCGTCGTTACAGACGTTTGATGCTGGATTTTACCAGTGTGTGGTGCGAAACAGAATGGGAGCGCTGTTGCAAAGAAAATCAGAAGTTCAAGTTGCATGTATGTATACAGTTGAGAGACCTCCTTCATTGACAGACAAGACAAAGCAGCTGTGGGGAGCAATTCAAAATTGCTGTTAGCCATTCTAGGGACTGATAGTTTATCTTTGGTTCAACCAAAATGAAATGATTGCTAAAGCTGGTGAAAGATGAGTAAACAGCTGTCGTGGATGATTGGAGAGGGGCTATGGAGGCAGATTGTACTTTTTCCAACTGAAAAGGTAAAGGGTCCGTGCAGGAGCCTGAGGAGGATGAAAAGAAGAGTCAAATGACTCCTCTTTTATGAATCAGTTAGCCTTCTCTTAGCTTGTGTTATATTGGTATTCAGAATTTTGTAAATTTAGAAAAATTAAGCCCATTTAACTTTAGGTAATTTGACCACTTTGACCATTTAAGTCAAATTACATCCATTCATAAACAGTTCTTTCCAAAGATGATTTGTTTAGAAATTTTTTTGCTTGACTACAAAAAGTACATGGAAAGTTGATGTACGAGTTGTTATAAATTTATACCAATTTATTAATTCTTTATTCAGCATATCTAATTTAGATAATGAACCTTTAAAAGTAACTGGAAGTTTTATCAAAATTCAGGATGCCTGAATTTTAATGACATCTTTAAGAGGGAGAGGTCAGGAAATTTGGCTTCTACATTTCATCTGTTTTAAAACCAAAATCTATCTAAAATGACTGTCTGCTTTATTATATTTCTATATACTACCAAAATGTCCCTCTGCTAAAAAAATAAGCAAACAGTGTTCTGATATATTAAATTATGACTTGAGGGAACACTATTGAGCTTCTAGGTTACTGTGTTATTTTGTGATGACAAGATTTTCTCACTTGTTATTTTCACTCCAGTTAAAGCCTGCTGCTTTGGGTTAATATACAAAATAAAATAGTACCTAGTTATTTTACAGTTCTATCATAAGCAGTAATGACTGTGAGGTATTGATACTGTACATGCTTAATTAATGTTTTAAATCACTAGGAAGGGAGAAATTTTTTCCAAATTGTAATGATGAAGTCACACAGCTAATTCAGAACTTTTATTCAGTAGGATAATTGAAAACATAATAAAGAGAGTGCCAATCAATACCCAGACCATATTTGAGAAAGTTAAGTACCTAGAATTAATTATATTACACTCTATTTTATAAATTTATGTTTGAGCTTCTTTTTGCCTATATATAATATATATATATATTACATATATGCAAAGTGAGTTTTATACATTACGTCCATGTATCTTATACAGTACGCCATCTATGTGCATACATATTTATCTGTATCTAATCATAATATTGGAACTTTAAAAAATCTCAAGCTATCAGTTTAAAATTAGCTGTTTACATTTACAATTCAGTAGCTATATTTTTTTCCTATGACTTCATTTTTCTAATGTTTTTAAGTGATGATGGAACAATGACTAACTGTACCAAATTAGGTTAACGGTGTGGAGGTAGATGAGAACTCACTATAAACTATAGAGTGGTTACAAAATACTCCTCCCAAAAGATCTGTTAGGAAGGCAGTCACCACAGAAGTGAAGAGGAGGAGAAACTCAGCAGAGCATAGGCCTGATCTGGGGAACTAGCTGGAAAGACTTTGTAGCTGGGAGATATCTAGGAGCATTATATTAGTGTTCCTGTGAAAGCTGCTTCCCTTGGAGCTAGGATGCTTTTGACAGTTTCACTACATGATCAGATGCAGTCATTCCATTGTGTTTTTACAGTAAGAGAAAAGCTGTGAGGCTCTGCTGACTAATGAGCTTCTTGGCCACTCTAGAGGTGGGGGGCTTTGCGTGCACTTTACTCACAGCCAGGTCAGCACTCCTCAGTGCTGCCATTCATCCTTGCTTGTCTTGTTAACATATAACATCATTGCTGACTTTTGCTGTGAAATATAGTTATTTACATTTCTGAGCCCTGCTGCCCCCAGCAAGAGTGTTTTCTAGAACCTAAATGATCTCATTTTTCTCTGCAGATATGGGAAATTTCATGGACACAGACCAAAGGAAAACAGTTTCTCAAGGACATGCAGCACTTCTAAACTTACTGCCTATCAGCAGCTGCCCCAGACCTCAAGTGACTTGGTTTAGAGAAGGGCACAAGATTATTCCAAGCAACAGAATGTAAGTTACTCTGAACATTACAGTCTCAGATACAATTAATTACACTTGCTTGTACCATTTGCATAGTAAGTGAACCAATTAAGGTTAGCAATGATTTTGAAAGAATCAGTCTAGGAGCCCTACCTCAGCCCTTAATAAAAAGCTATTTTGAGACTGGCTTTGTTGTGTTTAAACAGCTTAAAGAAGTGGCCATGTAATGTTATTATTTAGTATACTTCACGCCCCAGACCTAAAGCATCCTTACTGTTTGCAATCTATTCTTTTTTGCTTTTGAATGTACTTTTTAAGAAGTCATTGTCACCCCTGAATTATGTTTAACTTCAAGTACTGATTTAACAAGGGCTGATATTGACTTATACAGCTGTGGATCCCCCCTTCTTATTGAACCATGCTTGATAGTACGTTCTCTGATGATAAAACAGTAATTACTGCTTATTTCTCTTTATCCTTTTATCCTACCATGACAGTTTTATTTCCCTTCATCTAATTAGTGGCTTGCCCGTCTATTGCAGAATAGTTGCTTTGTGATTAGTTAAGCATTATTTCAAGGTGTTCTTGCCTATTCCACATTGAAGACATTTATCTAATGCCAGACAGTTTTTCTTCATTTGGAACTTTTAGTGGTTAAAATGAACACATGGTCTATGTCTCATATTTAGGCATTTTGCAATCATATTTAAAAATAATATTCTACATATAAAAATTTCAGGGTTGAAAATTTCTCAAGGAATCATGATATACTATAAGCTTAGAATAAAAGCTAAATATGTTTCCTGTCAAGTGGTAATATTCAGATAAAAATTCATGACAGAAAAAGGCTCTTGTTTCTTTGTTTTATTTAACAAAAAGGATATATGTAAGCCAATTTGCTAGGTAGGTTTCAAATGAATTATGAAAGTGACTGGTATTTAAACCTGCCTTCTCCCCTCCCAGAGCATTCATAGAAGCCCTTCATCCACCTTAGCATTTGAACCTTGATTGAAATTGGACTGTTCTTAAGCTCATTCAGCAAATTTTTCTCTTTTGGTTATTAGAAACAGGAATGAAATGGAAATATATATAAATGCTATATTTCAAAATTCTAGTAAAAATACTGATTATTTTGGAAAATGAGATAACTACTGTCCTTTTCATTTTAGTAAATGTTACTTAGATATCCACCTTTACAATGACTCAGTCATAACAGATGCCTCCTGAGTTTTTGTGAAGCAAAAATGAAGAATCAATCTCTCTTTGCCTCAGGAGACTATTAGGCTGAACAAAAGGTAGCTAAGATATATTCTTACGTAAATATCTCAGCACAGAATAGCAGGTGAAGATGAAGTAAATGCTAGGGGAGAATTGGTACCAGGAATGGGAAAGTATTATTGCTTGCATCTAGCACTTTGCCCACAGCTTCATTTGCTCATAGATGGCACTTTCAGTACGGACTATATCATGGGTGTGTGAAACTGGATTAGTCCACTGATTGGTTTAGAATAGTTCTGGGTGTAGGTGATAGATTGACTGGAGAGCGAGGATTTACCTAGGTGTGGGTGGCACCAACCAATAGAGTTGCACCCTGGGTGGAATCAAAAGGGAAAGAAGGAAGGCTTGCAGCTTCTTGTCTGCCTTGCCTTGGACTGTTTCTCTGCTGCCATGCTGCCTTGCCATGGAACCAGCCAATTATGGACTGAAAACTCTGCAAACTGTGCGTTAAAGTTAACCTTTCCTCCTTTAACTTGTAGATATAAGGTATTTTGTCCCAGTAACAAGAAAGTTACTAAGATAGGAGGTATGTTGAATTAGGCTTTCTCTCAAACTCCTGAAGCTCTTAGTTAATATTAATGTTAGCAAAATTAACAGTGGAATAATTATTTTAACTTGCTAGGAAATAAGTATGAATTAATTCATTAACCAAGTAGTCTAGCTATGATCATGAAACATTTATTCAAGTATAAAAGGGTATTTAATGAAATAAATCTTAATTTCATAAGTGTTTTTAAATTTGCAAATTCATGTTAAAGACTGTTTAATTTCTAACGGGCTATAATAATGTAATGATATTATGAGAGCTTTAACTTACTGTAAAAGCAAAAATGGGTTGTTAGGCCAGGGATTTAGCCCAGTGGTTCTGCTGCCTGCCTCACAAGTGCAAGCAAGGTCCTGAGTTCAATCCCCAGTACCAAAAAAAAACGTTGTTTACAATTGCGTGACTATTGATAAATCTCCAATCTCAGTGAAATAATGTGGAGATTTAAAGAGATGAAATGAGACTGATTATAGATATTTACACTTCTGCAAGGTCCTTTAGGTTTATATTTTCCACCTCATCACCTCACATTTATTAAGGACCTGCTATGTAAGATATCATAAATCAGTATGTACATGCTTTTCTCCACAAGTTTATATGTCATTCAAAGATATACTGTGATCCACTTTTTAAAAAATTCTTTTAAAAAATTGAACCCAAGGCCTCAAACATGCTAGAAAAGTGATCTACCCCTGAACTACATCCCAGCCCTTTTTATTTTGAGAGAGGATCTCACAAATTTGCCCAGGCTAGATACAAACTTGATTTTCTTGGTCTCAGCCTCCCAAGTAGCTGAGATTATAAGTGTGCACCACTGCACTTGTTAAGTTTTGCTTTTGACTGAACATAGAAGGTATGTCTACATTATTCATTTCCATGTTGTGGACAGGCAAAAGTCAGATGGCTCTTATTAGTTCTACACTATGAGAAGTGTCTCTTAAATCTGAAACATTTGACCCAACTTGCATCCATTGCACATACTGAAACACAGGTCAAGCACCTGCACCTGCTTTTAGCTTCCCTATGCTAGGACGGTTCTCTAAGACAGCAGGAGAAATAGTTCTTTGCCTTAGTTGAGGAACTTCATCTTGCTTCCCTATATTTTTTTTAACATTATCTTATGACCTTTATAAGCTGAACTTTTGGTTTATAGATAATTTTTTCTTCCAAGAGAAGAAGCCTGATGTTTCCCAATTTAAAAAATTAGTTACATTGGCTGGGGATTTAGCTCAGTAGTTCCTCCGCCTGCTTCACAAGTGCAAGGTCCCAAGTTTGATCCCCAGTAACCGCCCCCCCCAAAAACGATAAAAAAATTAGTTACATAGCCTATTAATAATCCTAACTGCTATTATTTATTGAGTACCTACTTGAAAGATACCGTCTCTAATCCTCACCATTGCATTCAGAGGTAGGTATAATTACTCATACTTACAGCTATCAGAACTGAAGGTTAGAGATGGTAAATCATCAAGGGGCACACAGTTGATAAATGGCATAACCAAGATTCAAATTTGGGTGTACTTTACTGAATCTCCATGGTTTTCTGTATCATGCTAATTCTTCTTTTCACTTCATTTGCTCAATATTATTTGTTCTTTTCATCATTATTTCACATATCTCTTTAGTCTTTTTCCTCATTTATTTAGAAGAGCAGCTTTCAATTTGAAATAACGTAGGTTAACTTGGGTTTATATAAAGGTGGTGAGAAGTGTCAGTTATTGATGTATTTTGAAAGTAGAATAAATATTTTGTTTGGTAGTGGATGTGGGCCAGATAAAGAGGAGCTATGGATGACTCTTAAGATTTTAGGTCTGATCAATTGATAGCATAGATTGCCATTTCCTGAAATAGGGGGACAATGTTAAGAAAGCAGGTTTGGTTATATGTTTGGTTACGTTGGTAGTGGTTTCTACATTTTCTCTTAACTGATGTTAAGAATGAGATGCATATTATGTAGCCAAGAGGAGCCAATGATTAGATAGTTAAAATAATTACAAAAATAATTTATCTATAAAACCAAAGTTCAGCTTTTAAAGGTCATAAGATAATGTTAAAAAACATAGGGAAGCAAGATGATGTTCCTCAACTAGGGCAAAGAACTATTTCTCCTGCTGTCTTAGAGAACTGTCCTAGCATAGGGAAGCTAAAAGCAGGTGCAGGTGCTTGACCTGTGTTTCAGGTTATGCTTAGTGCATTATTTATATTTAAATCTGTTTTCAAACCTGTGAAATATATGAGCCAATAGGCCAAGCCCAAATAGTCCCATTTGGGCTGACTGGCTATTTTTTACATAAAGAAGTTTTTTGTTTTTTGTGTTTTTTTTACCTTGTGCTTATGAGGCAGGCAGCCTAACCACTGAGGTAAATCCCTGGCCCTTCATAAAGAAATTTTATTGGCATATGTAATGCGTTACAGTAACTAAACTGATACCAGAGGAATTAACAATAATTCAAGCTGCTTCCTGGTCTAAGGAACAGGGACTAAAATCAGCAGCGTGATGGTTCTCCAAAGATACCAAGGTCCAAGTCCTTGGGAACATGTTAGGTTATATGGAAGAGGGAAATTAAGATTGCAGATGTACAAGGACCTGAGTTCGATCCTCGGTACCCCCCCCAAATAAAAGACTGCAGGTGTGATAAGGACAATACAAAATACAAAAGGTCAAAATACTACAAAAGGACAAAATAAAGGCTGTCTTCCAACTAGTATACTTACCCAAAACTGGCAGCTCTTTCTCTTGGCATCTGGTCCAAGGGCTCTAACCCTGAGAATCAAATTCCAGGGCCTGTAACCTAAACAAACATTCCAGGGACCAAAGGTCTTATTCTCTCCAAGATCATCTGCCCCCCACCCCATACTTATATAGAAAGGCTTAGCATTTCTTCTGCAATAATGTAGTAGCGGTAATTAACTAGATTCCTCTGGAGAACCTCTTAGTGGTACTCTTTAGGGTGCTGGGAGTCTTCAGACTCCATTGTCTTAAATTGAATGGCTTCTTTCAAAGCTTTGAGATAAGAGAAGGAACTTTATTTAGCATCCTGTACATTTTATCTTGAATTAATTGTTGCAGTCTGTAAGTTCTAGTACTCAGAACATTTTGTAACCATCATCCCCACCTCTACCACCTAATGCTTCTCTGTTTTGACAACTCTATCTGACCTGGACGTATGTGTAGCAGTTATGAAGTCATGGAATGGCTGAAATAATG